TGAGAATTGCAAATTCATTAAACTTTACGAGTCCTATCCTAAAGGTTTTTCCTCTCCAAGATGGATCTTATTTTTAACCTCGTTCGTGTCTCATCAGCACACCAAACGCGAATTGAAATCCAGTTTTGCGCGTTAAACGAATACACTTTACGACAGCGCCAAACAGCTGCGGAGGCCGTTTGATTAAGGTCAAATGGGCTTCTTAAATAATATTGACAGTGGGATTGCCGGTAAAGCAAAATTGAGTGTGAAAATAATATGGATGGCAACACTTGATGGTGTTTACATTTTATTGGTAGATCTTGATCAAAAAATTTGTGTAATTCATATTGTGGGAAAATGCAACCATCAGTCCTCCATCACCATAAACCAAATAGGGTGGACACAATTCATATCTGATTTACTGGTAGTCTTGAAATCCTACTTAATAACGAAAATGTAGTCGTCAGTTGTTATACAAGTTTGCCTCATCTGCAATCCTGACGCAATGTGACATGGAAGATGCCTGACCTTAATTAAAATTCAAATCTGCCCTGTTACCTAATGGCACAATCATTGTGGCGTACTGGTTAGCGCATCGAGATTACACGCTTCACTGTCATGGTTCGACTTCCGCTGGTGGTGCTGATAAGACCCAGGCGAGGCTGAAACTGCAGTCCATTCTGGATGAGAACACCTTTTGGGAAAGCAATGCTCTGTGAAATTCAATGGAAACGTCTGCTCTACTTATATCATTATGGGAAAATTCAACTACCAGACCTTCATTACCTTAAACGAAATATATCTGATTTACTGGTAGTCTCAAAAACCTACTCAATAACATAAACATTTTATTCACTTTAGGCCCATTTAATTCCTGTATCACCTAATCGACCAAAGATGACAAAAGTTCTTATTACATATCAACTGAACTTTTTCAAAAGTACCAACTACATATGCAGTATCGTCATAGAATTTAAGGGAAATTAATTAATGGGTTGTGGCTTGATAATATCAGGCTGGGCACGAAGCCAGTTAAGGGTTGAGAAGAGTTCTGAACTTCAGTCCTAATTGGACCATCTAAGTTGACTTCAAGGGCATTATTTGGTGAGACTCTTACAAGAATGAAACCCTGCTCTGATGATGTCCATCAAAA